ATTGAAGAGATGATTTGATTTGAAAATTGGTGGATTGAGGAATAAATAAATGAATGCGCTGATGAATAAATGAATTAGTGAATTAAGAAAATGAATTAATTAATTGATGAATTGATGATTTGATAAATAGATGAATTAATCAATTAATGAATTGATGAATCAATTGATTAGGTGAATTAATGAATTGATGAATTGATGTCTAGGATGGTTGGGAGAATAAATCATCAGAATGAGACGATATAATCCTCTGCAACAACCTTGTTCAGTGTACCATCTCCTACCATCTCGTTTTTCTACATCGAGAACTCAGATTATTATTTATTGATGTATTTTTATCCTTTAAGCCATATTTTTAATATCAAACTTATTTCTTAGCAAGGATCAGGGGCCAGTTTCTGGTAATATAATTTTTCCAACTACTCATTCAAAACTTATGATAAAAGAAAGCAGTTTTGGAATCTTCATAAAATCAAAGTGTTTCTCCAACGATTTTAGAATTGTTAAAAGCGTTTGACTAACCAATTTTATGTAAAATTTAGAAAGTCTAAATATAATTCGAGTAATTAATCTATCTAAAATATAAAAAACAATTTTTTTTTGAGTATACTGAAAATAAATCTCAGAAATGTGAGGTTTTAATTTCTATTTGAATCAAAAGTTTTTGCTTTGATGTGTTGTAAAATAGCATATGCTCACAAAAAAAACTTAATTAAAAATGTCTTACACTGAAGCACCTCTAACAGTGTCTTAATATCCTTAAACTTTGTAAATTCTTTGTTTTATTGTTTTTCTGTAGACAGGTTACTGCAGGCATATACACCTTTGATTTTCTAAATCCAATAGAATTTGGTTTTTATTGGAACTAGGTACAAATGTACAAGGTGGATTTCCAAATGGTAAAACTGAAGATATTTAGAAATGATGTCTCAAACGTATTTCTGCAAAACAAATAATTGATTATTTTTAAGTCTTGAAAGTTGTGGAGCTAGGGGTTTAGTTTTTGTTTTGTGTCTGACATAGAAACCCTGCAATGAATGAAAACTTTCCAGATCGAGTAAGCCTTTAGATTAATTTTAATTTCTTTATTGAAATAGTAAGTAAGTAAGTTAGTAAGAAAGTAATTATTTTTTTGTGAAAAATAACAAAAACATACAATTCAGGAGAGATATTTGAAAACCTCTAAAAATAAAGGTTGTGGGAAATTATCCTCTCAATTCAAAAAAGGAAAGTTACATTATATATAAGTTCAAAGTATAAATAAACGTTATATAATATCCGGGACCGTATTTAATGAATCCGTGAACTACGTATAGCTCACGCACCTCTGACCCTTCAGTATAAGTAATGTCTGACCGCGTCAACCTTGTTGCACCGGCTAGTCCTATTGAATGTCTGCCTTATTTACCCAATGCCCGTGTGATACACTACAAACTGCATGGGACCGGAAAGGTTGACCTGGCTCGGAAATTCAAATGTACTACGGCTGCCCGTGAGCTGCGCCGGTTCAAATCCTGAATTACCTATTCAAGTTCTCATGCATCTACTTATTAATTTCGACCTCCTTACAATTTTTTCTTTGAAAAGTTTTTTTTGTGATTTAAGTGAATTAAACATGAACCAACCAAACTTGTTTTCAAATTGTTACACTTTTATTGCTTGATGTTATACTGTTGAGGGTTTATTTACATTTTTCCACGGATTTATTGAAAAGAGTAATTGCGCTCTCAAGCTTTCTTATGAGAAAACTTAGATAATATTGGAGCTGAGTATTTTGTATTGACTTTACTCCGTTCTATTCCCACACAATCTTTAGAAATAATAATTCAATCAAATCTAAATCCAGAATTCTTCCTTTCCCTTCATCACACGGGCAGCCATAGTACGTTTGAATCTCCGAGCCGGGTCAACCTTTCCAGTCCCAGTTTGTACTGTACCTAGCTCTATGGACAGGACTATAGCCGGTGTAACAAGGTTAACGCGGTCAGATTCTATGCTTCATATATGTTGAATTTACTTTTACTAAAGGGGCAAAGGTGCGTGATCAGTCAAAATTCCCAATGATTTTTCGCGTAAGCTGGCAACATTTGGATCGCTGTTGACTGCTGGGAAACTTTTGTTGAGTCATGTGGAGCAAAAGAAAACTAGTTTGGTAAGTTCACATCATATCACAATACACAATACGCAAAAAATATACAACCAAGAAATATATAGACCAGGAACCCCCATATCTCATGCGTCAAATCTGTGTACTGCAGTGGGATGAGATCAAAACAAAGAATTCAGGGGCAACGCATCATTTTTGAGGGAAACGAGCCTTAGGGGTGGAATAAGAATATATTGCTATTGTATTTTCCATGTTGACCAGAAAGCCAAAAATCATATGTTTTCGCTCTAACTTGATATATTAACTTGTTTTTTGTTGGACTGTAATATCACATCAGAGCTTAAGTACTTTCTCTTCACCTTCTGTTGGGGCACTGGGTTTGTTTACATTCCTCCCACAGAGTTGGGCGTTCCTTGGACACAACTTAAATGTTAAGACTGGGGTTTTATCAGACAGAATCGAGACTGTACAACTATGTACATGTTTTACGATTGTATAGTTGTTTTTTGAAGACAATGTCTAATTTAAAATTTCCATCTATGAAATGGTTTTCTATAAAAATTCATAAAATAGGTTTCTATCAATAAAATGTATTCTATGAAAAAATGTGGTTTTTCAAAATGTCAATCTATTAAAGTACTTTCATTGAAATGTCATTCTAAAAATGTCTATCTAAAAAGTGTTTATCTCTGGTCTACCCATCATGTTGAGATTTAAACCAGTATAATAATATTTAATAAGTTTTTACTTATAACTTATTTTATTAAAAGAAACGTTAAATTAATTTTTGTATTTCCAATTTGTCGCTTTTGTGGTTAAGATACATGCATTAAAACACAACGGGATTAATTTGTGAAAATATACGCAGAACCAGAAAACAGTGGGATGGGAAGACGACATTAAAGACAATATTTATTTGATGTTGTTACAATGTAAATGGTTTTACTAGACACTTATGAAATCGGTTTGTTTACACCGTACTATTCCTGTGCTCATTGAACTTTTTAAAGGAATTGAGTTTTTGCCACAAACTAAAATATTCTGATTCCAATATCTTCGCAACCTTATGGTGCAAACCTTTGATATTTCAAACTTAGGTTATTTTATTTATAAGTATTAATAGTTTTAAATATCTAAGGTCTACGGCATTGGGTTGCAAAGATATAGAGACTAGAAAATCAGAGTTTGTGGCAAAAACTCAACTCCTTTATTACCTATATAATAAAACATGACATTCGTATATATTTTGCGTATAGCCGGCCAAACGACTGGACCGATTGGGCTGAATTTTTTTGTATACACTCATGGGTAGCTGGGGGGTGTTATAGGCGATATTTTTTTCTCAAAATTTTTAAAATTGTTTTCCTTATTTTTTCAAACTTTTTTTTCAACGGGCAACGACGGACCCTTCAGCTGGTTTGATTATAAAAGTCGTCTTTCTATTTCAGTTTTCTGGTTATCACTGTATAATTATAAATGAAAACATAAGAGGGGTGGGGAACAAATTATTTTCAGGGGCGGGGGGCGGGGTTAAATTCTCTATAGTTAAACTAGTATTTAACCCACCGTGATAAAGTGATATATATCCCTAAACTTACTTAGCCCTAAACGATATCAATTTACTCATGAAAGAAAGGAATGTAGAGAATAGATTGATTAAACCGAATACAGCAATGATTTATGAGAATTCCTTCCAAACCCTAGTAAAAAGGCTACAACAGGCTTATCAAACATTTCAATGTCAGGAGCAATGTATTAGATCTTAAGTTAGAAGTTACTGAACCCCTATCATATTATAAAAAACTGCAATGTATGTATTATTGGACCAAACTTTTTATTGTTTTACAATCTTTTGCGTCCTCAAAGAGCGACACAACTGTGCGTCCTAACTTTATTAAATGTTTAGTACAGTGGTACACAGTACACTCCAGTTCATTTATGTACCGGGTCGAATTTCGACTAGCCAGGGCAAGCTGTAAAGTAAAATACATACTATATAAGGCAAAACAAGACAGTACGCCAAATAAATGGTCTCCTTCTATTAAATCAATACAATAAAGTCGACTTTCAATTTTAATTTTGATTGATATCAAGCTGGTGAATATCATGGTTTAAATATTGAATATTTTAGCATGTATACTGTATACAGCAGACTGTAGAGACGTACAGGACAAGTTATTACTTTATCAATATTTTCATTTATTAATGTTGTAAACCAGTGGGAGAGCCGGCTAGGGCATAATTATCCAAGGACTGAAAACATACTCAATTATGTTAAAAAATGTTGGAGAACTGAAAATTATAATTTCAAGTTTAGTTAACTTAGATTATATTTAATAAATTTAATCTCACCCCACCCACACTTTCAAATATTTTGAATTAGAATTTTACTGGTGAAAAGATTATAAAGTGGAAAGATGAAAAAAGTTAAAAAGGTTTCAAAATGTACATTTAAAATAAAAATATTAATAAATAGGATTATTCACATATTTGAAATTAAACCTTTTTGATTTACATATTTAAATCATATTGCATACACTTTTCTTTTGATAATATATAATTTATAAATATACTTTGCTTGTCTGTTTGGGTGTTTGTTTGTAATCAATAAACGTCAAAACGGCTGAACCGATCGGGCCCAAATTTTGTGTGGGACCTTACATGCCCATTGTCAAAATGATTTCAACTAATATGAAACATTCTGCAAACTTTATCATCAATGGTATACAACAATTAAATTGATTGAAAAAATAATCCTAATGTCGTCCATAATAACCATTTTAGAGCAGTGGAGAATCTAACCTTAATATCGGCTGTAAGATCTACTATAGAGCAGTTGAGGAACTAACCTGAATATCGTCTGTAAGATCTACTATAGAGCAGTGGAGGAACTAACCTGAATATCGTCTGTAAGATCTACAATAGGGCAATGGAGGAAAGCTGGAGAATCAACCTAAAACGAAGTTTATATTATCTGGAAACAATAAATTTAAAGGAATGTCAACGTAAATTTACCTAACCCTCCATCTACATCTTTTAAAGAATGTTAGATTCTGTAAGTTTCTGGAGAACATAAATCTACAGAAGCATACTGATAGTGTTTTTATTATTCCTTTGAGTTTAATACTCTTTAAAGAAACATCTTTAATCGAAATAAAAAATTAGTTCAAATCAAATTATCCTTCCTTGCCCTCATTTTTAAGATTATTAAACTTTTTCTTTCATCTTTTGATTGAATAAAACGAGTTCATAAAAGAAATATCTAACTTTCTCAGATTTTTTTACTATTCGTTGTGTTATTGTTCTGTTCTCTGTGGGATAAATTAGATTGTTAACCAGCTCATTGTTTTCTTCAATTTCACTCTTGACCAAACTCATTTCGGGTTCTTTTTTGTTTTCTACTTTTCCATTATGGATGAAAAGTGTCCTAAAGCTTTTTATGTGGAAATAGAGGATTTTTTCTAATTTGAGGTTTCTCTTAACACAGTGTATAATATGTATGTGTATAGAAACCAGGGGCAGATACAGGAATAATATAATTACTATACCTGTACTTTTGTAACATTTGGAGCTTGTCCGAAATGTGTTTTAACCCCGTAACCGGAGCCATGCTTTGAATCTCTAAACATGGAACCGGTTCTTGAGTCGCGCAGCGCAGAACCGGATAGTATTCCAACACTGCTCACCGATAAAACGAAGACGACACAATGCATTTTCATCCTCATCTGTAAGTAAATATTGGATATTACCGCAAGTTCAGTAGAAATGATACTTATAAAACTATATTTTTCATAATACACAGTGGATCTTTGCTAAGTTTGGTTTAAGGCGAAGAAATTAGGCATTAAACTTTAGTTCACTAGTTCACTAAGATACCATATTTAGACCTGTTTCTTCAAAGTTGGCTTACATAGAATTATGGTATCTTATCAGCAAATCTTTTGTTGTTTTAATTGTGAAGATTATAAAAAGGATTAATAATTTTCCTTCTAGTGGATGGATCTTCTGTCTCAAGTATAGAATTGATTTGTTCATTAGTTTTCTCAGGATTGGTATTTTGTTTAATCGGGCATTATCAATCCTACTCCTCAGCATACACAACCCACAGATATATAGACTTCTCAATCCTATTCCTCAGCATACACATCCCACAGATATATAGACTTCTCAATCCTACTCCTCAGCATACACAACCCACAGATTATAGACTTCTCAATCCTACTCCTAGGCATACACAACCCACAGATATATAGACTTCTCAATCCTACTCCTCAGCATACACATCCCACAGATATATAGACTTCTCAATCCTACTCCTCAGCATACACATCCCACAGATATATAGACTTCTCAATCCTACTCCTCAGCATACACACCCCACAGATATATATACTTCTCAATCCTACTCCTCAGCATACACACCCTACAGATATATAGACTACACCAAATTCAGATTGCTTCACGCCACCTTGCCGGCTAACTTTTTCATTTTGCAACAATTTTTTTTTGGGGGGGGGTGGAGATAACATAAGAAAAATCAAATTTGTTATACATCCAAGGATTTCCACGTCACATTTATCTCAATAAATATGAAAAGAAATTAATTCTATCTTTACATCTGGACGCATACACCCTGGATGTATAAAATATGGAGGGTTTCTCTGCATTCGCCAGCTATTTATTATTGTTTGGACAAAGGGTTTTTGTTATTCAATCCTAGAAAGCAGAAACTAACATTTATCTTTTTTGTCTCTATCTCAATCTGATTCATATTGAAACTGGATTTCAATTTAGCTGAAATGAAAAAATATTTAGAATTTTATGGGAGCATGGGTAGCTAACTAGAAGCCATGGACTTAGAAATGGGCATTGTTTTCTTCAACGAACGAAATTGTTCGTTAAGAAGGGGTTCTTCAGAAAAAAAAACGATCAATGGACGAACGAAATGGATCGTTTCAGAGAAATGAAAAACTATCGTTTTTTTTAAACGAGGGGAAAAAATAACGATTTAAAACCGCTTGGACAAGCTTGAAAAACAGGATAGTTGTTTTACTGATCGAACGAGTTTTACAAAAATTTGAATGAAACTATCGTTTTTCACTGAACGAACGATTTCTGAAACAAACATTTTAAGAAACGATAGTGTTTTATTGAACTAATGATTTTTTCTAACAATTTAAAAAAAAAACTATCGGTTTTTTGACTAAACAAACGATTTTATTAAACTAACGATTTTACTGAACGAACGATTTTACTGAACGAACGATTTTACTGAACGATCATTCAGTAAAAAAACGAACGAATTATATGGAAAAGGAACTTTGAGAACGAACGAAATATTTTTTTGAAATCTTTAAAAAAAGAACAAAATGAGTCGTTCCCAAATGATAAACAAACGAAATGAAAACAGTTGAACGTGCTCCTCTCTATCCATGGTGCAACACCAAATTGTCTTAGATAAAAAAGAACAGTTTCAAGCCTAATTCACAACGGTAAACTTTAAACCTTTAAATGACGGATATATCATTGTTTTCTAGCTAAAAATTGATAATTTCAGTATATGGTGCCATTCTTCTCTTCTTCTCTTATCTTTTTATTAAAAAATGACGCTAAAAATATTGTGTAATTCGCAACCAACTTTAAGAAAATCAAAAACAAAAAACATTTTAATACATTTCTAGAAATATGTCGGTTTCAACGATTGAAATTAGAATAAAAAAAAGACATTAAAAGATTATATTCATTCAACAATTTTCTGGTTCTGCTAAAAGGAATTGAGTCTTTGCCATAAAATCTGCTTTTCTAAACCCTATATCTTTGGATTCCAATGTCGTAGACCTTAGATATTTTAAACTATGAATTCTGCTAGATCAAATAATATAAGTTTGAAATATCAAAAATGTACGGCATTGGGTTTTAAAGATATAGGGATTATAAATTCAGAGTTTGTGGCAAAGACTCAATTCGTTTCCTTGTCACAGCTAAATAATAGCACTGCGATCCTATAGTACATGCTCTCACGCAACAATCGAGCAGCATTTTAACGGTTACACCTTTTAAACTTACAATCGAAACAAGATAGTTGCATTTTTAGAATGTGTAGCGACGCTTTAAAGTCGAGGCCGGCTGTCTACAAAGGAATTGAGTCTTTTTGCCACAAACTCTGAATTTATAATCCCTATATATTTGGAACCCAATGCCGCAAATCTTTGATATTTCAAACTTACATTATTTGATCTAATAGAATTCATAGTTTGAAATATCTAAGGTCTACGACATTGGAATCCCAAGATATAGGGTTTAGAAAAGCAAAGTTTGTGGCACAGACTCAATTCCTTTGATGAATAAGTTTCATAGTTGCAGATATCAGTATAAGGAAAATAATGATGTATATGTAAATCATAAATATGTACACTATTGTACAATTCTTTAGGCAGACGGCAGCCATTTTATATTTCCCATAATTAAACCTGAATACTGTATTCAGCCTTATGATGAGTAAATAATATAAATATACAATAAACATACTTCTTATGATATCTTATATATATCTCATATTGAATATTGTTTATCAGCCATATAATATTTAGAATATTATACTTCTTTTTTACCAACCCACACAAATACCATATACAACAATTTAGAGTCGGGTGTCAACCTTACGTCAGAGCTATCTACGTATAAATGTATTATGTATAAAGAAAGAATAAAAAGGCAATTAAGATATACATTTCTGTATAATCTGATCATTATTGCATGAATGAAATTGAATGAAAATAAAACGAAAAGGAAGGAAACAAAGTTGCTGTTTTTGTGCTATTTTACACCTTTTGATTTTATGCAGTTTTGGGCTTTTAGCAATTTAGTACATTAAAATGCACTGTGAATAGTAAAATTTACGTAAAATGTACGTAAAACGTTTCTTTGGACTCCCTGTCTCCTTGGTAACTAGAGGATGAGACAAGTATGTGTTTGATAAATGAATTTGCTGAAATCTACTCGAGGTCTTCTTGTTCCTTTTACAATTGTGGTGAGATGAGAAATATTTGTTATTCAGACAAAGCTTTGTGTTTGGTAATTCAGGCAGGGTACCGGGAAGGGGGGGGATTTAGCTGACAGGGGAACAGATGGACGGGGGGGGGGGGGTATGTTTCGGGAAATGCAGAAGAAATTTGTTTTGTGTTTAAACCCTTTGAAATAATTGCTTAATTCTTTTTTTCCCGCCATAATTATCATTTAAAAATGTAATGCTAGTTTATTTGCAAAAATATCAAAAGATCAAATACCAAATGATCAAATGCCGAATTATACAGTACAAACGCAGTACATTTTAATTAGGTCCACAAGCTAGAAATGTAAACAAATCTGGGTAAAATCATATAAACTGATCGTACTGCATTGTTTATCTCAAAACCGGTTAAATTTCCACAACAAACTATCAAGGGAAGAAAGAGAAGAAAGAGAAGAAATATTTATGCATACCCTAAAATCATTTCTAATTCATTTATATTCCTATAATATTTTTGAAAAAGTAAGTAGCTGCCCCTACTGTTCAGCGTACACTTTTTTGATCATTTCAAGAGTTTTGATCATTTGGCATAAATTGTATGAAATGTTTAGCTATTTGGCTTTCCAACTTTTGTCACTCTTAATTGTCAACAAATTTATGCATAGCATTTAATCTTTAGAAGTTTTGCAATCGAGTTTTTTCTTTTTTTTAAATCCGGATTTTCGACATTGATAAGTTTTAAACTCCGTGTGCCTCTGACATTGAAAATCAATTTATAGTTCCGCCTTTCAAAGATGATATTGCTTTTTTGTACTCAAACAGACATCTTTATTACAGAATAGAATGTGCTTTACAAGATAGAACAAGCTGAGACAGCAAACTTCGAACCAAACTAATGATTTTTTATTTTGAATATTTTCCGACAAATAAATGTTTTGAGTTTCTTAGGCCGGCAGCTAGGCTCTGCAGATAGATTGTATTTTCAATATTTGAAATCAAATAAACAATTTTATTATTCTTTCTTTTAGCCAGTTCTTTTTGAACAACAAACACCTTTAAAGGGACTGTAAGTGTAATTTCAAAGTTTCCATGCAAATATGACAATGGCCGATTTAACGGTACCCTCAAAAGCTTTGTATAAAATGTGAAATTTTTATGTTGGAAATAAGTCTTTGAAACAAACTTTATGTTCACAACAACTTTGCAACCTGTTCGTGTAATATTTCAAACTTTAACTATTTATTCCATTAGAATTATCAGATTTCATAGTTTAAAATATCAAGAGTCTGTCACATTTTAAAAATCTGAGTTTGTGGCAAAAACTTCACCCCATTCGATTCCCTGTCTTTTCATACCTTCCCTTTCAGTCCTTTAATACTCCGCCCATGTTCTCTTTATTTCCCCTCCCTCTTCCCTCTCTCTTCTCTCGACCCCCCCCCCTCCCTCCCTTGGGCTCTGGTTGAGAGAAAGCATAATGGTTTGCTTGTATATTCCTGGAGTAAAGGAAGCAGAGTTTGCATTTCGCCTTTTTTCATTATTTTCAATATTATAGAGAATGCATAGAGTAAATTCAGACGAAAGAATAATATGTATCTTCTGAAAGGTATTATTCTTATATTTCACTTATAAAACACACTAATTTCATCAATACTACGCTGTCTTTGTAAGATTTGTACAATTTTTGCTATAAAACCCGGGTTTTTTTTGGACTT